AAGCTAAGCGAATGGGTCCGGTTGTGAATGAGGACAATACGAAATATCTCCTGTCATCAAACAGTCATCGCATTCACTACTCGGGTCCCATGTCTCTGTTGACAGTCATAACTTTGAAGTTGTAGATAATTTCGTCTATCTCGGAACCAGCATTAACACCAACAATTATGTCAGCGTTGAAATCCAGTGCAGAATCACTTCTGCGGTGTCTCCGCCCTCCGAATGTTTTTCTGACATAAAAACCTAAAACTTCTCATAAACATCCATCGGCTGTCCGGAGACTGCTTAGAGTAATCTGTAAGTGTCTCCATTTGTTGTGAAAACATCAAGCCGCACACCATAAATTGGATACAAGACCTACTTTTCTGCAGAAATAGTTGTCACACTTTTAGTTTCCTTTATGTGTGCACACAAATTTACATACAAAAGTATACAAAACTACGTGCTCCTGACACTTGGAACTTAGCAGTCGGTTCATTTTTTTCCTCAAACATTAAGCCACTCCACTATGTGTGGGTGGTGATATTTTTTTAACGAGATTGATAGATGTTGAAATCAAAAAATCATAGCTATATCCTTTCCACGCTCATTCAGCTTTTCATTTTTGCTTCGCTTTTCATTTGACAATTTAAAAGAAACTTTTGAAACACACTTCACTGTCATGCACTTACACCAGTTAACATTTACTTACATATTATAAACATACCAACATTATTACACATCTTTTCAATTTATTTTCTTTGTATATATATGCATATACCTTTACTAACTGTGCATGAAATTATTTCTTCGACGCAGGAAACTTCCACACTTTAATTGCGTCCTCAAAGTAAAGCAGTAGCATACCTTTTATGTGTGTATGTATCGAGGTGTGTATTGCGCATTTTGTGGGTAACTTCTCTTCCAATAGGGTATAGAAACGTATAGAAAATGGTAACTTACAGGAAGTGATGGTCCTACAGGAAACTTTTAAAGAAACTTTTACTTTCATACAAAAGCCTTTTAGGAAGTTTTTGAGAGATAATAGTCAATCACACTGGAGTGGCATGATGTGATGTGTTGATCTAATGACACCTGATGTGACATTTCAAAGGTGTGATATGCAAAGTTTTGTTTTTCATGATATAAAAGCGGATAAAATTGTCCAATTTGTATCGCATGAGAGAAGCTTTCCTGCTATTCAATTGATTTTGAAATCATTTGATCTTCTCCTGTGACATCGCATTTAAGTAATTCATGATATGATGGTAAAGTCATATGATGTGATCGATATCTCCCGTTCTATAAGTGCGAAGAAGACGTTAGAAAGATGATATTTGGTACTAAAAAAGATACTTGGAGAAGTATTCTTCATTTAACTCAGTGGTGTTTTCACTCATGTCAAAAGTGGACGCCAGCAAAGAGCAAATTTGCTATACGAGGGAATCGACAAAAGTTCGGTAATTTGACCAGAAAAAAAATCTTTTTATATTTATTCGTAATCCGTGTCCTTTTTTATCTTCTACACATAATCGCCATTGATTTGAATGTATTTCTTAAGCCAAAGATCCACTACTGAAAACACCATTCAAAAATATTGATTTTAAAGCTTATCAAAATCAGCATTAACCGCATTCATTACCTCCTCGTTGCTCTCAGGTGCTGGACGTATTTTTTCATCCCAGAGATCGCTATAAAAGAAACATATTCAGCAGGTTCTTTTCAAAATATGTATAACGGTAGCATGTGCAACAAGTCACATTTTTTCACATCCTAAACAATGCGAGGCTGGAAATTAAAACAAATCAATGACACGCTCTTTTCAGTTGGATGAAGATGATTCATTCTTCGAGTTTGGGCAGCTTAGAATAGTGGCCTTGGTGACCAGGGTGACATTGTAACAAAACCCAAACTGAACAAGTCTCTCTTCATTCCATTATTATTTTTGTTGTAACCGTAAAAATATTCGCCAAATTGATGTTCGGGGAATATTGTGGGAAGAACAGTCCTTGTCCGGATAAAGATCTGGGTCGTACCGGTATAAAAACCCGATTGTCGAGAGAACTATTAGATTTCGGTCGCCTCTTCAGATATCCAAATCTTACCACGAGTAAATTCTGGAGCCTCTAACCAGCGAAGAGTCAACCGCGTCCTACTATATGATGCAAAGCATCAGTTGGAGAACGACCTGGTTTCAATTGGTATTTCCAACTGGGGTCAAACAGTGATGAGAATGGATGAATGGCATAAGTGATGCCTACACCAATAAAGCAGTTTGTGCCCTTTGAGATCATTTAAAATAGACTCTTGCTACCGTTGGCATGGTCCAGCTTTTCCACGTCTTTCATCACTATGAGCCTACTAGAAGCTCTCTCTTTCCTGCAAACCCGCTAATTAAGTTATACCCACTAATTTCCTTATAAAACAAAATGTCCTATAAACTACCAAAACACAGCTTTATGCTTGGCAGCTGTAGCCGAGTGGTTAGCATTGCGTATTGCCATTCGGAAGGCTCGGGTTCAAATCCTGCTATCGTTCTAACATCCAAAAAGTTATAGAAAATTAATTTAAATAAAAAATGCAATTAAATTTTCTAATTGCGATCGCCACTCGGCAGGGAGTGTCAACCCCTCCGAGTGTATTTCGGACATAAAAACCCCATCAGCCCTACGGAGGCGGCTTAGTATAAACTGTAGGTCCCTCCATTCGTTGGAAAAAAATCAAGACACAAAACCACAAATTGGACGAGGAGTTTGGCTGAAAATCGCTTCAGTGGTTACAAAGCGCCAATTACCTACATACATACATACACATAAACAATGTCACAATAACAGTTATACATACGCTGCTGCAACTTTGCAACGTTAAAGTTATTACTTGTCTGGAGCTGAACCGAGCAGAACTGTCAGAACAGTGACCACCATCACCCATTGCCCGCAGCTCACCGTAATTTGATAATGGACACGCAGTCAGTTGTTGATCAAGTTTTTCGAGGAATAACATTACATTATGAAATCCCATATGACAACGTGTAATAATTAATGAGCAAGTAGGTACACCAAACGTGCTAATAACGGTATGTACACAGGCAACCGTATGCGTGGCCATGGTAGTGCCTACCTATTGCAATGAAATATTGATATCAATTTAATTTGCAATTTGTGCATTGAATTGGCAAAAGAACGCCAGAAACTTTGCAATACATTACTCCTCCGCGCGCGCACCCACACAGCCGAACCAACATTGCATACACATCTACCTGCGTACGTACAGATGTGTGAGCATACATGAATGCATCCAGCAATTCCAATTACAGCATCGAAGCCTTTGCCCAACCAACTAGTTAAGAGCAGCTCAACGCAAGCGGCATAGGCAAAGTCTTCAGTCTGCGGTTGAAGCTAGTGTTTCTGATTGCAAAGTGCAGCAGGCCAAGTGTAAAGTTGCAAAAGTAAGAAAAGTGTGGAGAAAACGCAAAGCACAACCTGGCAAGTGTAGCGCCTAGTTGGTATGCAGAGTTGTTGGTTGAGTGGCTGGAAGCAGCACTCAGCTTGCGTGCGGCCGAAAAGAAAATGGAGATGAAGGTATCTGTTATGGCAATTTCTACGTGTTTTGTAATACTGTATAGTACAGTTGTAGATTGTTGCATAACAATAGGCGTCATCAAGCACACACACACACACACATGTACCGATAAGCATTTAGCAAAGAGCCTGCATTTGTTCCGCCAGTCATCTTAGGTAGTCTTTGGCACTGATGCCGTTGCGTTGAGCGGACGAGCGGTGGGTAGTAAGAGTATATGGTTGATTAAGATTTCCGCTTTTCACTTCCGCTTCGGTTCATCAGATGTGTGTGAACCTAAAAGCGCTTTGGGGTTTTTGAAGAGTGTGTGTACTTGATACCTGTTATTACTTTATGTCGTACTGTGTGTTAAGCACTAAGTTAAGTGGAAGTGAATATAAAGAGTTTGGATTTTTAGATGACGGAAAGTCTTGTTCTACCATTGATACTATGGATGTGGACTGTCATAAAAAGTTAATCTCTTTATTTTCTCATTTCGACGAGGCAAATATTCAGTAAAATGTGCAACAAGCGAGCGCTATTTTGCCATTTAGTTTGGAAGGGAAGTTGCAGATTCGCGTGCGAATGAAAATTTAGGACAGTAAAAATTAGCAAACGAAAAGAACAGCTGATTTGTGATCTTATGAGCTCGTTTCGGTGTCAGTAAAAATTTACCAATAATGACACTGAAAGAGTAAAATGCTTTAGTCCCCCAAAGGGAGGATTGGAGTAGCTGGTTTACCAAGCGACCCATACTTTCATACTCGTACCGCGAGCTTTTCTAAAAGCCTTAATATGCCAATATGATTTTTGGATAAACCTGTGACAGCACGAAAATTTATGTAAAACTTGCTTTACAACATGTTTTGTGTCCAATGAAAAATCGAAATAAGCCCCGGATTGAAGATCTCATTTTGATGACGCCCCCGCTAATTTAAATCGCCAATGAAGAAGAAGACTTTTAGCAAGAGCTTTAATTTTGTTTAAGTTGTGCATCGTCGCGGCTTTTGGAAGGTTTAGAATGCAGTTACGTCCGTCATTGCGCCGGTGGCAATAACCTTACTTCGCATTGTTTTGAGGATTATTAGGTTGACACTCTTTTATAATAAACTTAATTAAATGAATCCAAAAACAACTTACATTGAACATAAAATAAAGATATATTCAAATTATATTACTTCCTGTGGTGTGCGTCCACTGTCACCAAGTTTTCGTGTAACGTTCATCTTTGTAACAATTTTTACTGACCATCAGCTCACAGATACAGTAATACCCGCAAGTTTCACCAAGGGTTATACTCAACTCATGCTCTCCCACATTTCGTTTTTGTTTACATCCCTGAATTATTGTATTTTGTTTTCACTTTTATTTTCTAAATAAACAACCGGCATCTCGCCAACCAATCAAGACTAAGCTATTTGACAACCAATCAGCTGATGACTAACGTCAAAATTAAAAATTTACTACCAATAATTTATTGGTGTTCTATACAAAATTCGTTACCATTGTGCAATTTAAGAGTGCATAACTCAAGAGAATGCATATTAATATGTTTTAAATATAAATTGAAAGTTACAAAAAAGCAAAATAGCTAAAAGTTTTCAAAATTGATCGGGTACAGCAATAGTAAGCGCTGGTCAAGATGTTTCGCATCGAATCTTATGTTACGCCCATTATTATGGAATACGTGGCAAAGTATGTTAAGAACATACGACCCGAGGATATGCAACTCTCCTTGTGGGAAGGTGAGGCCACGTTGCAAAACCTCGATTTGCGGTTGGATGTATTAGAAGAGGAATTGCAGTTGCCCTGTGAATTCTTATCAGGGCACGTACACGAAATGACCATACGTGTACCATGGACTAAGATAACATCTGAACCGATACGTATAATAATTAATACAATTGAATTTGTGCTCAAATTGCGACGTAACAAATCGGATGATGTCTCATCGACCAGTTCATCGCCGCAACGTAAGAATGGCGATGCTGCCAAAAAACGCAAACGTCCTTCAGATGAACAACAGTCAACACAGCAAAGTCCAGGATCTGGCATTGTAAATAAAATCATAAACAATATAAATTTAGAGTGCCAGAATATAATTCTAAAGTATGTGGAGGATGATATTGTTGTATCGATGAATGTGCAGCTCTTGCAATTTGGTTCAGCTGATGAACGTTGGAAAATCGCCATGACGGATATACATCCCGTTAAGGTTCTAATGCGCAAATTAGTTAAAGTATCCGATCTCACAATCTGCATAGACAAACGTAATTCAGCAGGGCATATTGAGGTGTGTCAGGAACCAATCTTATATAGGTAATGATTAAATAATATTCTCAAGCGTATAATTTTCATTAATTTTATATTTTTATTAGGTGCTCTTTCGAAATACGCATTTTACGTAAATATAACACCAACACAGTGGCTACCACAAGCTTAACACGCATCGGTATATTCACCAAATCAATGGATGTTAATATAGCTTCAATGCAATTTCCGATGATAAGACGTCTTATCGATATAACAACTGAATTTGGACTTAATAATTCCAAAAAGCTTATTACGGAGCAAGAAGACTTGACAGAATATTCAGAGAATGAAGTAGCCGCGAGTGACTCATTTCTGGCATGGGCATGGAATAAACTGCCAACTTTATCCTATGAGCCGCCGTTAATTGAAGAACCTACTGTCGAAGAAATAGCCGGTCATTTCAAGGATATCGGCCTATACTTGGAAGAGTTAAACATTACGCTAAAAAACTCCGAACTAATTGTAGATAATTTTGTAGGCAATACAAAGCGCATTAAATACACACCCATTGTACGTATAACTATAGGTGGTTTATACATGGAAAAGGTGGCCAGCGAAGAACAAAATTGGCGCAGTATGAAATCAGGCATAACTTATTTGATCGTTGACCCTTTGGGCTCCTATAAAGCTGATGATATCTCCGAAACAGCGTTGATCTCAAGTGCTTCTGTAAGACAATTGTATTATTTTAAATTTTTTAACTCATTTATGTTTTTCCTTCAATTTGTAGTTAGAAAGAACTACTGCTTTTGTGGAAAACAGTCTATTTGATGAGAAAATCACAACAGCTGACCAGAAAGTTTGCGTAAACTATGATGAATATATGACACTTTATACTGACGAATACTTATTAAATCGCACACCAATTTTTGCTTTCGATTCCGTCGAATACAAAACTATGAAAATGCGAGACAACGCAAAATCAGAGGTTGATGTATCAACAACAACAATAACAACAAAGGACACACACCTCGCTTATCGTCTGTTATCCTCCGGTGTGACATTTCGTTGGAATCAATCATTTCGACAGGTTAAACAAATAATACAAGATTTAATTGATTCTTACGATTATTCCGGCTATCATGTAGACCAATTAGACACAGCTGCGCAGTGCAGTGCTAGCAATAAACTAACACCACCACTAATGGAAGACTATGATGACCTAATGGAACACATACCGCTTTGCATCTACAAATTTGACTTAAAAAATATAAATTTTGAAATCTATGCATGCACAGAATCACTAAGTACCCAAAAGCACACGCACAACCGTTTACCAGGTGCCTTGAGACAAGCGATGCCTTACTTCTTGGCACATATAGAACGTTTAGAAGGCACATTATGCAGGCCGCTGAATGTGGATAAGGTTGTACACACCACCTGCCAACTGCCAGAAAAGCCACACATCTTACTTGATGCTTGCCACAATAATATCACATTCCAAATGCGACAATTCTCCTTATCGATGGTGAATAAAATGCGAAAAACGACCATAAGACTCATGCACATCCCACATATCGAACTGACATATTCTGATCTCATACAGAAACAGCATTGGAAAGAAGACACACTTATACCTTTAAGAAAAATCGAAGTATCTTGTGAACTAATTAATGTGGACTTCAATAAGCGTAACTTGATAATTGCTGCACGTCTAATGAATTGCGTACTTAGTTATAGGCCTTATTTATTATGGAAAATCGCTAATCAAGTAATGCAATTAGTGAAAAATGAACTAGAGCCAACATTGCATAATGAGTTCAGAAATTTGCGTATAGATTTTCAATGCTTTCAGAGTTATACGACGGCATATCTTGAGCTTTACAGCTTGCTCTCACATATAGTCACATATACTGAACAGTGTCACAAAAAAAATATGTTAATTGACACGGAAAAGGGTAATAAACCTAAAAAATGGTTATGTGCTAGTATACAGTTAAATCCAGAAGGTATACAATTAGCGGCAAACAAAAATGAATCGCTTGTAGCGCTGGCCATTTGGGTGGAACCGATTGCTGTGTACGTCGATGACGTGTTGTTGGAGTTTCTAAAGTATCAAGAGGACTACGATCACACCGTCGAACGAGGTAAGTGTTTGAAGGGAATGATTCGTCTCAGACATATATCCTCTTTACAATTTTTAACAATTTTTTTTAGAGCCATCCAGCGAAATCGAATTGCACACTCAACAGTATCAAGCCCACGTTCCAATACAAACAAATAGCACGAATGCCAACCAACCACCTCGCGTGCATACAAATATAACTACCAGTGGCGGACCAGCACTCATTCGTCGCTCTTCACGTAATTCCCTACCTACACGTAAAATATCCCACCCTGAGGAAACAATACACTTCAGCTCTGAACGCGATGAAAAAATTGATTTGGAAACTGTAAGTGCCACACCGCCCACAACAGCAATTGAGGCTGAGCCCACATCATTATGGCAGCAAATCAAATCAATAGTCATCTGCTTTGAATTGGGTCATATTAGACTTCATATAGCAGAAAGGCTTAAATGGTGTAATAATAATGAAAATATCCATTGTGTGTATACACTATTACAATTACCCAAAATTGCTATGCGTTCGACGAACGCCGAAAATTTGTCACGCACAAATCTTCAAGAGAAGTTTACAATATCCACCTCTCCGAAGGACACCATCAATTGGGTTATTGCACTCTATGGTCTAAATGTGAAGAGATATAACTGCATCGATATGGATACAGTTTTGCCGGATGTATATACAACTATTACAATTGTTGTTACACACAAGAAGCAATTGGATGCGGATGGGAACAAGGTGTCACAACGTAGGTCATCGAACGAGACGCCAAATGATGCTACAACCGAAGCAGTGAGTCCTGCGTCACAAAAAGAAGTGAGCCCATCGCCTGTGCCTGCAATGAGCAACCATAATTTGGATAGTAGTTTACCGATAACACAAAACACGTCAATAGAAGTGGATGCAATAACGGTGCATATAGACACAATGCCTATACATTTTAATGTATCGGAAGCCAAATGTTCGGCGCTACATTTGCATGTAGGTATTTTGGGTAAAGTCATTAAGCTCATAGGTCCCATGGCACAGTTGAATACAAGCACACAAATGCCAACTTCAGCAACGCCTATACAAATCGTAACAATATCTGAGGAAAATGCAGCAATTAAGCAATTTTTAGAATTAGAAACCAGTTCCTCTGTGTCTTCAGTGCTCGTAGAAAACAGTAAGTAACTTTGAAATTATTTTAAACAATTTATAAAACCAATATTTACGTCTTACTTCCACAGAAGCGCCAACAACTTACACCACATCTCTATTTTGTCAATGGTCCATCGCCAAAATTATTTGTGAATTGACAGCTCAAGAGCGCAAGAGCAAAATGGTTCTGGAACTCGAAGATTTACTTTCAACTGTGGACAATCGAGAAGATTTCACAAAATTTACAGGCAAAATTGGACAATGCAATCTCTTGTACTACACACCAGACGAAAAAGAGGAATGGATAGCTCAACCGAGTATGCGTCTTAAAATGCTCGGCGATATGACGAATATGCCGTTTTTGAATATAGTTTACACTTCTGTGGGCTTAAAAAGTTTCTATACGCGCATTGGTGTAAAACCAAAATATAATGCCAACCGCTCAATAGCCGAAATTATAGTCACATTACAAGCCATGGAAATAATTGTAGATTTAGATATTCTAAAAGAATTTGTATGCTCGTTAGGCATTCTCTTCGCCGTAAGAGAATGCACCGCCAACTGTTCAGAAGAGCGAACTTCAAAACAAATTCAAAGTACTCCACCAACTGCTGCCGATCTGCCACTCATACACTTGGATAGTAAAGGCTTTACTTTGTATACGCCTTTGGCGACGAAGCGTGAGTGTTGCACTGTGCTAATATGGAAGGCAAGTATTATCAGTTATTTATCACACTGTCCCTATGATTACCTGCATTTTTTGATATTCAGATCGAGTCCATAAAAACGACACCACACTTGGAGAACCCATTGCAACGCAATCCCTTACGACCAGACGTCTATGGCAAAGCTGCTCAATTGGGTTTTCTCAACACGCCCGGTTCGTTGGTGGAAGATCGTCAATATGAGTTGATATTGCAAAATCTATCAGTGGCCACAGCGCAATGGACGGATATTTTGGGTCATATGGCACAACAGGCGAAAACGTTTCAGCACACAAATCCAGCTGTCGAATGGAACACTCAAACTCGTGAGACAGCACCGCATTTCACACACGTTTTCACAGATTTCACTTTTATTGGCATCTTTGCGCCATGCATCGCCTATAATAATGTATTAATTTGTGGGCAAGCGCTTGAATTTAATTGCGCATCAGACTTCGTCGCTACCATCAATACAGATCAGCTTTATGCCATAAGTTTCATGGCATGTCGTTTAAATGAATTACTTGAGTAAGTGTTTAAAATGCAGAACTGTATTATATATATATTAAGTCGATTTTTGCTCTCATTCCAGTTTCGCCGCAGAAAATGCACCCATAAGAAAATCTAATATGTCCTTGTCATCCAGTTCATATTCTAATCAACAGAAATCTGAGAGCATGTCATGTAGCAAGTCCAGCAAATCCAGCAGCAGTTTACAATGTGGTGATCTTCTTCTTGCACCTTTAAATAGAACCACACGCACCGCTGCTGCAGCAGCCTTTGAACCGATTGATGAGAACACAGAGCAAAATGTAAAAACCGACTCTGGCATACAATCGCAACAATCACGCGGAGAACGCCAATCCGTATTTGCCACTCCCAGCGATGCGCTTGTTCGAAAATTTCCACAAACTGTATCTTTCCTTGCCGGTACATTCACGATAAAATTATACGAAGTCCGTGGTGCGGAGCCAAAATCCAGCGATGGACTACAAGTAAAATGTACTGATAAAGTGCTGTGTTTGGTGCCATTAATAACACTGACAGTCTGTCAGCCGAGCTTTATGTACACACAAAATATCTATGATCATATTATCCAGATGTCACTCTATAATTTAAATATACATTCCATGCCCTCAGCAGTCTTGGATGCTGAAGACACCAACCTATTTCCTATCGAATTCATCGATACGAGACCTGGAGAATTAGGTCCCACTGGCATACCACCGCCCCTTATTACTATACGCAAGCATCTAACCAAGCAAAAGCTCGTGGAAACCGATGTGGAAATAGCAAGGCCAATTATTATTACACTGCAGGAACAACAAACCGTTGTTTTGTTGAAAAACTCGCTCATCCTCTACCAAACGATACTGCAAAGTGGATATCTAAATCCACGCGCGTTGCGCATTGTTCAGAAAGCTTCGAAAATTATGCTCATGCGTAGTCATTTCTACAATTGCGATCGATTGCATGTAAAGTTAGATAAATTAGTATTGCTGATGAAGCACGACTGTGACTACGAAGGCAAGCTGGTCTGTGCCGATATGCATTTCAATGCAACTTTTCTACAACGTCCAGAAAAAGCTGTGCTTAAAGCTGCCATCGGCTCGATGCACCTGCAAATTGGTGAGAGAATATTCCTGCATCCCGTGGCATTGCGATCGACATTCGCTTTTGTTAGTGAACCATGGTACGATCTTCCGTTGGTGAATGGCACCATAAAGCTCGACGTTTTACATGTTGACTTAGATGTCAACGGATTGAAAAAACTCCAACGCATACAGCTCGGTTTGGAAAAATTATCGTTACGTCTTAATGAAGAGTGGAAAGAGTTTCTACACAACCGTCCACCAATGGGGGAGTCTGCAGAAATGATGGCAGAGAAGTTAGTGCTGTTGAATACGCCATCTTTCAAAGGACATGTCAGTTCAAATGGTAGTAAGAAGAAGCTGACACGTGAGGAATTCTATCAAGACGATTTGAGGTAATTCTTACCTATTTTCTTAACTATTTTTAACATCCTCTTAGATCAATTATGTAGTACTACTTCGAACTTTGAGGTTTCTTCTTTCCCGCCGGGGTTGAAGAGGCGGACCATGAATCACCTGTGTGGTCGACTGTCATCGGTAGAATTTTGAGTTCAGAACTCCAAATTTAGGTAAATTAAACAAGGTCTTCCGAGGGTATCCTCTCACAGGCACCACCAGATACTCTCTTCTTGATCTCTTACGCTGACGAACGCTCGTTATTGTCGTTCGACTAGAATAATAATAGCCGTTGTTGCATTGCGTACTGATATTCGGAGGGGGTCGGGTTCAAGTCCCTGTGTCACCAACATCCAAAATGGAAAATTAATTTAAATAAAAAATTAATTTAAATTTTCTAATTGCGTTCGCCTCTCGACAGGGAATGTCCACCCCTCCGAGTGTATTTCGGACAGGAAATAAAGGCTGCTCATAAAAATCCATCAGCCGTTTGGAGGTGGTTTAGAATAAACTGTAAATCCCTCCATTTGTTGTAAAAATATTAAAACGCAATACCACAGATTGGAAGAGGCGCTCGGCCGAAAAAGCGGTTGCAAAGCGCCAAAAAAATATATATAGGACCGTGAATGTCACGCCGGCAGATCATAATCTATTCCGCGGCGATTTAGACATCGGCGTCTAGCCGAACAAAAATGAAGAACTGACAGAGCTGTAAGAACAGCGTCTTGACAACCAAAACAGGAAAGCACTTTTACTCACTCTCTACCTTGAATGGTGTTATTGAAATGAAATATATATAGCAGAAAAAGAGTTCGCGCTGTCTCACGAAATCCGTGTTCTACTGGCACAGTTAAGATCTGGTTAATGTAGCTTTTACTTAGGCAGACGCGAACCCTACATACTTCCTTTGTTGCCGATCTGTTGAAACAACTCATTCTTAGGTCTCCATATTTGTTATCTCAAAAATATCCACTAACTTTCCTGTCCCCAAACGGAATTACTTAGCTGCTTCAACAACAAGGGTAAATAGAGACCAATCACAAGCGAAAAAAGTGGGAGGAGGGCTTAAGGACCTGCAATCTCTCCTCTGGGGCAACCAAATCCTGGACTATGAGACGCGATGACCGAGTGGAAATTTCATTCGGCGTCGGACCCGATGGAGCCTCCAAAACCATCGGTCCCGACGAAGTAAGCATGCTGATGCTACAGCATCTTGGACCACCGGGAGAACACTTTCTCACCATGGTCCTCAACTTCGCTTTGACCACCCTAATGATACCTGGCGTGTGGAAAACGGTCACGGTGTTCCCGCGACTCAAGCCGGGGAAACCAGCCAACAAAGGAGAGTCTTACAGGCCGATAATTTTCCTCTTCCCAGTTGCGAAGACACTTGAGGATTGCTGCTCCCGACCTTCACTCACCATCTGCGTCCAGCAGAACATCAGCATGGCTTCCGGAAAGTGCATAGTATCACAACAGCACTAACCGCCATAAACACTCGGATAGTCAATGGCCCTGAGAAATCCTCATCACCGCCAAGGTTGCAGAGGTGGGTCATGGGCTACCTGGGTGGTCGACACTCATCGGTAATATTCCGAGGTGAAACATCGAAGCCCCCTAAAATTAAACATGAGGTACCGCAGAGTGATGTCCTCTCCCCATTACTGTTTAATTGTTTACATATCGAAACTTCTCCTCCACCAGAAGGAGTTTCCCTAACCTCGCATTTCGAGGATTGCACGATAATGGCGTCTGGCCAGAATATTGACGATTTCTGTTCGAAAGTGGCCGATCTTTCTCACTTCTTCACTGTTCCGATTATAAACAACCAAAACATATTTGGAGTCGCACTGGATAGCCTGCACTCCTTCACTTCGCATACGACCGCAATTGCCGCAAAACTCCAGAGCCACAAAAAAATACTCAAAGCGCTAGCCGGCAGCACCTGGCGTAAAGACAAAGAAACTTTGCTGGCAACTTACAAAGCAATTGGCCGGCCGGTCGTTAAGTATACTGCACCGATCTGGGCACTAAGGACGAACGAGACGCAGATGAAAGAGCTACAGGCTTGTCAGAATACCGCGCTCTGGACCGAGACGGGAAACATCCTGATGTCGCCGGAGCATCATTTGCACAGTGAAGCATCTATGTTACGAGTTAAGGAGCAAAATGTTTTGCTGCGCAAGCCATTCCTAGGCAACACCCCAATATGCATCTTATCGAAGCTTTACCACCACCTAAGCATATCAGAAAGGGAGTACTCGACATGAAGAACACCATACAGCAATACGTGGAACGGCCGCTGGAAAGGACGGCGTACAGACAGGCACTGAACGCCATTCGCCAGGAGTCAGTCAACACCTTCAAAGACTCATCATCGTAATTTTTATAGCAACACTTATTTAGGGTGAAACACAGTGTCCTAAGATGAGCGTTCATATACCACCAGTTTAGTCCTTAGCCCTTTAGCTCTTCTAAGATATGCAGAAAAGGTAAAATTTAATTGTAATCGAGATTTTACTAAGGACTCAGGAAAAATAATGGATAGTGTCGGTCTCGGTATCGGGTCTGAATATGTAAAAGTTCAACCAGCTGCATTAACCAGATTTCATATCTTTCATTCATGACAACAGTGTTGAAAATATACATTCCTTTTTGCAGAGCTGGCGCTTTTCAATTCGTGGAAATGGCTACGGACTCCTTTCTACCCTTGCCGTATCAAATTCAAATAATTAAGAAGAATTACGGCATTATTTGTTGGCGTTATCCACAACCAAGAAAAATGTGTAAAATCCACGTCTTTCCCGTGCCAATGGCGGTGAGTAAAATTAACTAAGCATAAAGAGTTTACCGCCTTCTTTTCTTCGTTTTCTTTTTATCCTTACTAAAAGGTCCAAAAGCCCATTAACATTCGTTGCCAAATGGAGTACTTCAGCGAGTCTCACGAATGCTTTCTGCACTTTAGCGAGTTTTGGCTCTCCGAAACGGCTTCAAAAGACATAGTATTACCCGAGCGTGAAATTTGTGCCAATATTTGGCGTGTGGTCATTATGCAATCTTTAGTCGCTGTCAATGGTGAATGCTTTGAGCCTAGCGAGGAGGATGAGGATAAGGCATGTATAGAAAAATGAAAAATTGTTGATTTTTCACGTCTATTTTTTCTTTGCAACTCAGATTCCAAGTTTAAAAATTGAGGAGCTCTTCAAGCTGGAAAGCAACGATGAGGACTTCATTTTACACCCAAAAGTTTTAGTGGGCTGTATGCGTATCGACACAGCCTTCCAGTCAGAGTGTGTACCGAAGTTCCAAGTGCTCCTCTCCTGCACCTCGCTGCAAGTAAAATTCCTTAATCAAGCGAATGATGAATACAAACTGCCGCCAGCACTTGCTGAGTACACGCTAGCGCCGTCTAAGCAAATTAGTCAGGCATTCTTGGTTGTGTTGTTGGAAAACCTTAGCATACATGCTGCATTCAATTCAACACAGATTTACAGCGTCGACAGCAGTCTGACTTTGAATATAAAATGTCTGGATTATGGTTTCCTGAATATGCTCTCAGTCCTAGAAGATGCAACATTACAAAGCTATGTAACCGTAAACAAACCGAAACGCTTGCTAAACATTAACGCGGTACTAGAGAAATTTCGCATTAATATTGGACCTTCAATACTGCACACGCTACTGTCGTCGAAGGCACATTGGCAAGAACTCTTCACCTCCACTACACCAAATCAGTGCCACGTACTTTTACCCAAATGTATTGTTGTTAATCGCATGCAAGCGCTTGTGGCCTTCGGTCAAACCGGCACTACAGAGCGCATACAATTACAACCGTTGGAATGTAGTTTGTATAGTTTTAGCAATGACGGCAATAATCAGGAATTGACTTTCTTCATTGCCGACAATGAAACCCGCATTACCGATGCGTCGCAGTCAGTGGCGATTCCTTTCAAATTCGATGGCGAACGGCTGTTGCAAAGTATACGCATTGGCGATAAATGTCTCATAATTGAAATGCAAAAACTGTCAGCCGCACAGGTTACAGTCTTCCTGAAGGGACAAATCGAGTTGATATCCATGGTGCCACAGGAGTTGCGCGTAGAGCTGCGATTCGATGAGACAAAAGCCGATGAAGACAAGCGACAATTAGACTATTTAGTTAAAAAAGAAGGTTATTCATCGTTTTACGTAGCGGTGCAGCGTGTTTCAAATGCAACTATGAGGTATGTATGTGAATAGTCGTCATGAACTACTGCCTAGTTGAACCAATCGCTATATAAGCTCGCTGTTCTTAAAGGACTTAAGTCTCGGAAACACATTAAACGGGGAACAAAAAGCATATTCTTATTAAAAGCTGTCCTCGCAATGAAACTTATGAAAAACTGAAAGGGTACACCCGTTACTAAAGCTAGGAGCACTCGGCTTATCAATAGCTTTGCCAGCATAGAGAGTTCCCCTAGGTTTACTATTTAATTTATAGCTATACAAACTTGTGCCTCTCCGTTCTGAATTGAGGAAGAGCCGGTTTATTTAAGAAGCCTCTTTACGTACTGGCTTGGAGCTAGGTGAATGGCAAGGTCCTTGATTTGAAAAAGTGTCAACTATATATACTCGATTACAATGGTCAATAACAATAAGTTTTAGGACGGAGAGTGCGATAATATCCACGTCGGGTTATGCAATGAGGAGGAAAAGATATTCTGACACCCTAAACGGCTGGTGGAAGCAATAACATACAGACAGGTTCTACGTTTATTCTCGTTACTGACGTTGTCGCCAACAGATAGTGCTTCCTCGTGAGATGCTCTTATTTCTGGAACAGCTAATGGTAATGAAATTTCCAAGAGGGCTGAAAGATAGATCAGCATGAGATGGAATATATAACGTCCAACAAATCGCCTAAATCACGTGTATTAGCCGCTAAGGAAAACCTATTCACGCGGTCTCGAAAGGACTACAATCAACTTAAGGCCCAACCGAAGCAAAATGGACATTGCTGGCAGACATGAGAAACCTGAAAAACTTCCTCTGTTTCTCTGCCTCCTTATTAAAAAACACTTCTTAGACATCAAAAACTATAAGAGGTCTCTCGAATTAGCTTGAAAATCTAACTGACACTACATAGAGGTACCAATTATATATGGAGCAAGCTGTCGTTCAACCGTTGGGCTACTTTTAATCAAATCTCAGCTTTTCTTTGTTTTAATCGGAATCACAGCTCTTAACTAGGATATTATAGGATATTCGAAAGTTAGGGTTCGAGCCCAGATTTAACTAAATCATCCGAAATTATAGAAAAATACATTATTCTAATTACGTTTACCCCTCGGCAGCGAATGTCAAGCCCCCCAAATGTGTTTCTGGCATGAAATAAAAGCTGTTCGGTGGTGCCTTAGAGTAAACAGTAGGTCCCTCCATTTGTTGCAAATACTTCAAGATCCACACCACAAACTGAAGGATGAGCTCGGCCGAAAATCGTTTCAGCGAGTACAAACCGCCTCTTTCATATATAATATATATATGTCAACTAAGTCCTTTAACAGCGCCGATTCTTTACTTCAATTTTCGATTGAAAACAATAAATTTTTTACAGACTAAAAATGGTGGCTCCAAAGATTAAGGGACGCACTGGTGATATTCCATTAAAACCAAACAAGAAATTGCCGTGGTTAGTAAAAGGTTAGTATTATAAAACAATCGTTTAAATGTTGTAGAAATCATATAAGCCACTGCTTTCCGTTCTCACGCAGTACCCACGGCAAATAATGAATTCGTTAGTTTTTGGGTGCGAGTCATACGCCAGGACATTACAGACCTTTGCATCGAATCGTTTCAACCACAGCGTATACTCGTCACAATTTGGCCGATATTTGAAATCCAATCACGTCTACCCTGCGCGTTGACCGCCTTTGAAAATATAACGGGAAAGCAATTCGAAATCGAACCACGTGGCGGTCGTTTTGTACTGGATGTGCCTGCAACACATTTGACCGAGCACAAAGTTGAATTTAAATCAAAGTAACTCCATAACTCGAATAACAAAGTATAACAGTTAATAATTATAAATTCCTTCCAATTCAGATCACCATTAAACTGTGAATGTGATGCAGAGCAAACTCTTTCCCTGAAATCAATGCAGTGGAACTCTTTCTTTTGGTATGATGAGAAGGATTGGGGCATTGATGATGCCCTACACAAACTAAGTTCGGACGTTGGGTCTTCAACATCAAAATGGCCGTTAGACGAAGAGGATGAATTGCGTGTGAATCGCCTAACACATTGCACAGGTGCAGCGAATCTGGTGTATACCCAAAAACCGGCAAGAGAGTTTTCCTGCGCCACCTGCCTCGAAGTGACAGCCTGGGCAATGTTCATCAACGCTACCGGCTTAGATATCGGTATTTGTATTGGCCAATCGAAGGAACGGACAACTGTCAAGTCGAATTGCCTTGAAATGCTGAGCATAATTACAACGCCATTCACAATCGACTTGCCCTTAGAGGACGATGATATGAAGTGGATTTCTTCCACACAGATCTGCTTTAATGGCATCTCGCCGACGGGTGGCTTACGCGGCTCTGTTTTACTTGACAATGATAGTCTAGATTTGGGTATAGTACACAAGACGGAAATCTATAAATTCATTTTGGAATACAAAATTGAGAATTCTCAACGCGTATTACGTCTGCGACCGAAATATGTTGTGTCGAACTTTGCAAATTGCAAACTTCAATTATTGTCTTTCGCAATGGATCATAAGGAGAGTGCGTCGCGTCAGACTTTAGAGGAATTTGCAGTCCAATCGAAAAAGATGGACTTAAACAAAGTGCAGTGGACAGAAAATTGGTAAGCATTTTTAATAATTTTGAGTATAACAAACTGGCTCGACTTCAGTTGATGTTATATCGGTTCACTAACCTCACTTGGGAGGAGATAAGGTCAGTCTAGTCATCTATGTCATCAAGCGAGAAGTCCAGGAAAAGCTAATTCAATGTGTTCGGACCAGAGGAAAAGAGGGTTAGACGAGTTGGTTTTAGGGTGCATTCAAATAGATTGTCAGTGCCGTGCGGGGACTCATCGCAAGTTGTGTATATGGGGATTAGGTCTAGTCAAGGAGATGTTTAGTTTAGTCTGGTACACTATTCAGATCGAAGTTGCGACAGGACTACGCAGAAATTTCGAGACAGCTCGAGGTCTTTTTCTGCAATAAGTGGTGGTTTGACTAAGAGAATGTCATTCACTGGAAGAGAGTAGAGAAAGTTGTTGACGGACTCTCGGGAAATGGCGTTTAATGCCTGTCGATAGGCCGTTCTGTCCAGTGATTGTTGTAGTTGGTCCTAAATATAGTCCTTTAATACGAGTACTCCCTTTCTGATAAGTGTCTGTTGAGGAGCTTCCTGCGATAGCATCCCAGCAGAAATTTGCTTGCACAGCAAAGCATTTTAAATCCTAGTAAATATGCTTCACTGGGCAAGCTGGAATGCTCGGGAAACATCATGAGGTCACGGTCCTGAGAGCGTTGTTTTCACATGCTTTGAGCTTCTTTATCTGCGTCTTGCTAGTACCCGGCACCCAGATCGGAGCAGTATTGTTAACGATCATTCGGCCAATTGCCTTTCAAGTTACCAGCAACGTTTCTTTGTCTGTTACCTAGATGCTGCCGGCTAATGCTTTGGTAATTTTATTGCAGCTTAGTTGTATCGAATGGCAGTTTCACGTCGAATTCGAGACAGTACTCCTTCGTACAGATGGTGATGGCCAGACACCAATGACGTGCAATCATCGGCATAATTGATCAGTCAAATCCCCTCCGGTGGAGGAGGAAGTTTCGAGATATAAAAGTTAACAGCAGTGAGAAGAGGACACCATCCTGCGGAACGCTTTGTCTAATCTTTCTGAGTTTGGATATTTGACTTCGAAATTCTACCGATGATTGTCCACCACTCAGATAGCCCATGGTGCAACACTTCAACCCCAGCGGTAATGAGGATTCCTCAATGTCCGACAGTAGCACGGAATGATTGAAAGTGTCAAAAACTTTTGACAGATCGAGTGCTACCAGTACAGAGCGCGCGCGGGGATCGGTATCTGTTGAGGCAGCCTTTAGACGACCTAACCCCGTTAACGGGTAACATGAGCCTTGAACTTCAGTAAAAGAGGTTGGTCAAATACAAGTGTTGACGGCAGAGGGGATAAAAAGGATTTTGAATAGTTTTCAAAGAGCTAGAGCTCTTCATGCAATACAAACGAAAGACGAGCGTGACCCACTAATTTCTGAAGCATTACACATTCCGCCGAGAGCTTGAGAGCATTTAACTGCAAGAAATTAGAGTTAACTCTGATTTGTGGTTCACCCGAGGAACGAATTCTGCGTCGCACAAAGGGGCTCCCAACGCTTAATGTATTTGTTAAATTAAGAGTGGTGGTGAGAGGTTTTATTTGCTGTCTTTTGGAGATTTTAGAGTTCACTCACAACAGCTCCGATGTGTGACTCAATTCCATAATCTCGAGGACGAGTCATTTCAGTATAAATCAACTCAGCTGCAAATAGCTTTGCTTAATGTTTACTCTCTACTATCGTCATAATTGCTTTCATGCTTTGATTTCTCTTCTTTTCTAACCCAGCATTGGACAAACACTGGACTCATTTCACGACTTGAGACCGAACAAAAAAGCAAAACGTTCCAAAGACACGGCATACATATGTTTCGTCAGTGTTAAACAATCCGACAGCAACGACTTCTCCATACCCATACCACTAAGCATACCCTTCACAAGACGTACCTTCGCCCTACAAAATGGAGGAAATTCCGTGCCGTTAGTAGCTACGCTCATCGAAAAGGATCGCATTTACTATTTGAATATTTTTGAAGACACCAACCCGGCGCTGCTGGTGACAAATCAAACAGATGTGGCCTTCATTATCGCACAAACGAGCGCCTCGGAAAATAGCAAAGTTTCCAATACCACACCCGAGTACAATGGACGGCACTTTGAATGGTATCAACATGTGCCAGCGTACAGCAAATGCTACTATACGCCACCCGAACTTTATACGAGCTTTCCCGACGTCGAGTCGACAACGTGCAATATTACCTTAGCGTTATATAAAGGTGTGTATATATGTAGAAGGCTCTATATTTTCTTTTATATTTAATTTTTTTTTATTAATTAATATATCAGAAAATCCAACAAAGAAGACCTTGAAGTGGTCAAAACCCATACGTACGGATAGAACATGGGAGAAATTCTTATATATACCAAATCATGGTGACGTCAAAGTCATTGTCTGTGATAAACATCGAGTCACGCGTATTTATGTATACTACATAGCTCCGGTAAGCTCATTAATTTATAGCAAAAGCTTTTACTCATAAAATGTCTCCCGCATAGCTCGAGTTCTCTGTGAAAGATCTTCGCTCTCGCCTATTGACACCGAAAACCGCCGCCGACGCAGATAGCCCGAACTCGTCGCTCTTGTCGATCTCGCCCAGCACTGCCATTCACGACCCGATAACTATGCGCAGCACACCGGACAAGTGCAGACACTTTTCTAATGAATGCATTACGAAGACTCAATTGAAAGTACGTTGCTTCATCAAGGAATTCATAGTTAGCTTACATACGGGTGGCAAATCGGCTGACTCAGCAAAATCTGAAATTGTGGGTTTGTATGCTGATGATGCGCTCATCGCTTTTGATGACGACGACGATGATAGAGAGTTACACCTGCTGTTGCCAAATTTTCAATTGGATAATCAAAATTACGTCTGCGGTCAATACGATTTCCCTGTTGTGCTGTGCTCACAAGAGTTATATGAACGGAAGCCAATTGTGCCGCCTGTCCACTTTCTGGATCGCACCTATCAAAATCTTCGAAATCGTCCGTTAATGGCGAATTTTGAGATCGGGTTCTTTGAGGATGAAATGAAATTACATTCTATTGTGTGTACGTTCAGCCCGATGCGTATCTACATTGAGGACTCGTATCTTAATGTTTTGCTTGATGCCGTTGTGGATTGCACGCCCGCAAACTGTGCTTATCATGCGGAGCGACCAAACAAGCGCATTACTCTAGCGGCTGGTGAATATCTTTTGCCGCGCGTCATTGTTGGGCAAGCAATATGTATTGCGGAGCCATTGCAGATACGTCATTTTCAGATCGAACCCCTAAGCGTACTGCTCTCCGTGCATACGTCTATTCGGCTATACATAGCGCTCGATCATTCACCACTCTCGTTTTCCACCTACAAACGCGAGCATATACTCACTATGCCACTACGATTCGGCCAATCGCTCAGCATGCATTATCTGTCGGGCGCAATTTTCGGCGCCGGCTGGGTTGTGGGCTCGCTAGAAATACTTGGCAGTCCTAGCGGTTTAGCTCGCTCATTTACCACAGGCCTACGCGACTTCGTCTCCATGCCGGTGGAGGGACTCTTCCGTGGGCCATGGGGTTTCATTGTCGGCATTACGCAAGGTTCAGCATCACTTTTACGCAACGTCACTGCCGGCACATTGAATTCCGTGTCGAAGTTGGCTGCTTCCGTGGCACGAAATCTCGATCGTTTAACATTAGATCAGGAACACATCGAACGCACAGAAGCGTTACGTCGCCGTCGACCGCACGGCTTCACTGAGGGTCTGACTCAAGGTGTCACCGGCTTGGGTATAAGCATTTTAGGCGCAGTTGGTGGTCTGGCACGCCACACGCTAGAAGCGCGCACACCTACCGAAGTAATGACCGGCGTTGGTAAGGGACTTGTAGGCGCTGTAACAAAGCCTCTTAGTGGCGCCGCCGAATTGCTAGCGCTTACCGGTCAGGGTGTATTGCACACTGTGGGCTTCAATACTATGCCGGAATTGCGAGTGCCCTGTGTTTGTGTAAATATTATAACGGAACCATCGGCATATCGCATTTGGAAATTGTTACCAGGCACTTTGAAATCTGATCAGATTCTATTTAATCATGAGGTGACCTTGGTCACGCAAGATCAACTGCGTCGGGGTTACGCTCTGCTCACATCGAGTGTGTTTGCTCTTATGGAGATGCAAAGTTACAGTTTAATATGTGTATTTCCAATTGATAAGGTGGAGATGGCGAGTGATGCAATGGATAAAACGCTATATTATATACACTTGATTAAGGATAAGGAGGGTGCTGATGAGGTAAAGTTTTTTTTTTTTTAATTAATGTTCTAAAAGATAATTGGTCTTATCTTTGTGCAGGAAAACTATACAAACCAACGCATTATCACTTACATACATTCCTCAACATCATTGAAAAATGTGCCTGCAGCAGCGGCGGGTTCGCTAAGTGATCTACTTCAAAGTCACGAGCAAGAGTTGCAGGCAAGCAGGCGCAAGCAGATGGACTGGGCATTTTATATCAACGAGACACTCGGCGAGCATATCATTAAGTATTTGAGAGTAATGAACAGAAATTGTTGATTGGACAATGAGCAGAGTGATTAAAAGTTATAGGCTCGCATCCAAATTACATTGAGACTTTTATATTAACGTTAAATGATATTTTTATGCCCGACATTAAGTATTTTTTATGAATTTGTATGTACATAGCCAAATGTATTTAAAGTTAGGGGACAATTTCAAACAAAAATTTTAAGTCATATAAAACTAAAAATAAAAAATATTCGTTTTTAGAAAATTTATATAATTTATTTATGTTCGTTAGCATTCTTTGAGGCCTCATAAGACTTCTTGGGACGAAACAACATTTTCATTAATAAAATGATTCTTCATCACAACGGAAACATGGTTCCTCTTTGCCGTAATGGAGTGAAGTCCGGGATACCCTTACAGTTTCTGATTTTGAGTCCACGATTCCAGAAAATTGGTCAACGTATCTAGATTGTATGGAAGAAAGGGGCACCTACGCGTTCTAAGCCTCTGGTACGAGCTGGAGAGATGAAGCGGTGCTTACGTATAAACGGAATGGAAAAATGGTTCCACTTTGCCGTAATGGAGTGAAATCCGTGATACCATTACAGTTTCTGTTTTTAAGTCCATGATAGGGAAATCTAAGCGTTCTTAGCCTTGCGTACGTGCAGTAAAGAGGAAACTAATTTACTAAAAAAAAATTACGCTAAAATTAACAAACAACAAGGGTTTGTGCTAAAAATAATTTGTATTGGTCCGAACAGGCACCAGAGCTCTACACAAAGGTAATATGTGAATACCGTGAGAGCTTTAAGTCGGGGCTCTCTGTCACAATTGTTTTTAGAGTCGTTGAATTAATGTGGCAGTGTGTATTTAGGTTTTTTACGCAGTAAAGCCGGCGTCGGTCGGGAACCAATCGGTTCGTTATAATATTCGGAGTTGTATTAAATATAGAGCATTTGTGGCAATCGTTTTATTTTCTATATTAAATGGAAGAAAAGTGCAGCTGATGACCATCGAATGCTTGTGGAAGTTAATGTTGAATCTGCGCCTACTGAAAAATCATGCAGAGAGTGGTTTCGACGTTTCTAAAGTAATGATTTTAGCGTCCAAAACAATCCAGCAAGTTTGAAGGTGAGGAATGTTGGTATAACCAGTCGAAACCATTCATGTGAAACGTGCCGTTCATTTAAAAGTATGAGAAGCTGATTATGCAACGTGACAAGGTCCGGCTCCTCACGACTGTAGCGGCCAACAAACTATTTGGAAACGAAGAAACAGGAGGTCTTATCCCATCCGCTGTATTCTCCAGACTTTCCTCCTTCTGACTACTGACTTTTACGATGGATGCAAAACGGTTTTAAGGCTAAATGCTGAGATCGAGGAAAAGAGGATTCAGATTTTAGATATGGTATTCGGAGCATACTAAGAGATAGGAAAAACTAGCTGCTTATGGAAATTTGGGTTACAATTTTATTGCAAATCCTATTGTAAGCCGTCTTAATTTGCAACTAAAAAAATTTACTAGCTGGCTACCTGTGGTGAATAAAGAAATGTGGTCAACTTTTAGTTTGACGTTTGGCATTTGTGTAAATTGATGAGAATTTTTTATGCCTTGCGTAGTTTTTGTAGATTATTTTAAAACTGTGACAAACTAATTTAAATTTTTAATTTTATAAGCACTATTTAAGATCTGTGATGTCAGCAAATGTGCCAGATCGTAGCGGACAGCGTGGAGTGAGCCGAGTGCTTCTTAAGTTGGAAAATTCAATTGAGGCTGGAAACTACTATGAGGCACATCAAATGTATCGCACATTGTACTTTCGATACAATGGCCAACGAAAGTACAACGAATGCTTGGAATTGTTGTGGAACGGAGCTTTGAGGTTGATTTCCAAACAACAAGAAACCAGTGGCGCCGATTTAGCGCTCCTCCTTATGGACACACTAGAGAAACGAAGTAGTGCCGATGGGGAGGCTAATAACGATGGGGAATTGTGGATTGAACGTTTGGGTACAATTATTGGAAATCTTAGTCCAACTACTGTTGAGCGTGAAACATTAATTGTAAGTTTCAAGGAAAATATTAGTTAGTTTAGTTGTTAACATTAAACATTTCTTTCAACTTCAGAATCGTGCAATACAATGGAGCTGCGATATGTCCGGCAACACATTTGGACATCCCAAAATGCATAAAGCCGTCGCTCAAGTGTTTTGGACTGAAACAAATTATGAGCTATCACGTCATCACTTTTTACTCAGCCGTAATGGAAATCTTTGTGGACGCATGTTGATTAAGATGCATCAAAACAAAGGCAATGACAGTGAAATAGATTTATTTATTGTACAAGCTGTTCTTCAACAGCTTTGTTTAAAAGATCGAAAGGCTGCTGAGGACACGTTTAAATCTTACACCGCCAATCATCCGAGCATTAGGCGTAAAGAAGCACCTTTCGAACAGCCATTGCTTAATTTTATACACTTTTTGTTTCGTGTTATCGATACTGGACGACCTCATGTTTTTGAGGCTCTTCGTGATCTATATAAACCTTCATTGAAAAGAGATCCTTCTTTCGAGAAATATTTGGTGAAAATTGGAGTACATTTCTTCGGCATTGCGCCCCGACCAACATTAAATACCAGCATGTTTGGTGACTTACTTTCACGTATATTTCAAGATTTTGATGATGATGACGATGAGAGTTACACGTCGCATATAAGGCCTAATGCAAATTCAAGAAGTGTCTCTGGGGGAGGAAGTACCGCTGATTTGGATTGAAATTAAGTGTAAATTCTAAAGATTATGTTATATTTTTTGTAAAATTTGATCAGAAATTATTAAATTTTAAAACATACTAGAAAGACCCAGCTTATCAATATTTTTGTATTTTGTTCACTTTAAGTCTTTTATTTCGAATTTTATAGATTACGGTCGTAATAACTGCGTTGTTACCACTCAGAAGGCCAGGGTTCGAGTTGTTGCTGCTTGCTATCCTTGCTTAGGAGAAAGATATATATGTCTTAAGTTATTGATGTCGACCCCTTAAGTCAGCAGGTAGCATTAGCCTAGTACGATTTTTCAGAATGTGGTTTCCGGTTTCTCTTCGAAGGAAAAAATAATGATTTATGTACTAAATTTCAACCATAAATGCGATTTCACTTGTTGTTGTAGCGATCTTTCGAATAGATGGGTTCGTGATGGCGGAAGATTGTAACTTAAACCTCTTCTTTCCTTCAAATTTTTTCGTAATCTAAATTATCCAAATCGCCCAAACATTCTCGAGTTTCAGCGAAACAAACCAACAATTTATTTTCGTGAACAAAAAATAATAATTTTAAAGATCGACTATTACTTATTCCTATTCAAGTAAAAGAGATTAACATTTTTTTTTAATTCAGTTTTTTTAATTCTTAGAATCACTAACACATCTTATATCTATATAATGACATTCAATCGGCATGAATTCAGAGTGCACTATTTGCGTATTTCTTACAGAATGGCAACTAAGAATTAAATTATAAATTACCATTGTCGGTTTCAAACGCGTTTAACCTCTTCATTGTATTTGGCAATACATGGTTTGGGCTTTGTGCGGACTTCCGTTACTAAGCTGAAAAATTCAACAAACGATAATTATAATAAATCAAGTTTAACCATTCCTTTTTGGGGCATAAACCCACCTTCACAAAACGTGTGCACTCCAAATTAGCGACTGCTTACAATTTCATAAAATTTATAGTTTTAGTAATAAATACTTGCTAATGCTAAAAGTATAAAAATAAACAAACTTTAGTAACAATTAATTTTGCAATAAATCTACATTTGTATAATTATTGGAATTCCAACTACAAGTTGGACAAAATTCCAGAGAAACCTTTCCTTGCCTTATATGCAAACAAATGCCTGCATCGTCATCCGTACTAGTAGATGTTGGTAATTGCTCCTTTCCCGCATAACTGTGTTCTGCGCCAACAGTAGTTAGTTGAGTCAAATCTTTATTTCCGAAGTCTTCTTCCAAAAGATCGGACCATGTATCGTTAAATGTAGGGGAAGGCATGAAATCTGAGGAAAAATTTTCAAAAATGTTAAACAGATCTATAGGGTCGTCGTGTTGATAAAAGTCTTCAGTGAATCCTACGCTACCATTGTCTGAATTTTCCGATGTTGATGCAGCATGCCACCCAGCATTGTCCACACTGGCCGATTGCTTTAAAAGGTTCGGTGATTGACATAAATGCTGGCTACAAGTAGAATGTCCAGGCGAGCTCAGCATTGGAGAATTTGCAGTAGACAACTGCTGCTGTACATGCATTCGAACATTCAGAGCTTTAATAAGATTCTCTATTTCTTTGTGATTTGCTATAACGCTCTGAAAATACCTTTTTTCCCGTTGCAACTGCCCAACTGCTTTCATTTGCTGCTTTAACGCCTTTTTAAGTTGCTTATTTGTCCCTCGTACCTGCTCCAATTCCTTCTCCATGGCCTCCAAATGTGCCTTCTTTTTACGTCTGTTTTCTCTTGCCAAAAGCGCATTTCTGTTGTGCACATTTGGATTCGGTCGCCTGGTCGGCATTCGACCTTCTTGATTAGCATTCGTACCGTTTTTCACGGCCGATATTGTACTTTCTTCACTATCTGTATCTGAATTCGAGTCTGTTGAGTCATATTGGCCATTATGTTGCAATAACTGCTTGATGTTTTCCATAACAGCAATGTGACGAAAATGTTGTTGAAAAATTTTACAAACGGGAATCTTGTTTAGTATTTTGATCACGAAAAAATTTTCGCTGCTACTTTACCTTTTTAAATATATATATTTTTAATTATTCAACCAAATAAAATTCCACCTATGTGTATTACGTTTTGCAAACGATTAGAAAATTATGTGAAAATGGTGGCGTAATTTAACGAAAAGTTAAAAAAAAATGCCCATAGTTGCATTGAGAGCTTTACTGTTGTATTCATATGTGCCTAAATAAAAATTTTCAATCACTAATTTCGAAAATTTTTGTATGGTCATTAATAATTTATATAACCACAAGCAATTTATTGCAATTTAAAAAAAAATAAATATTACTTACAAATAAGGCATTTTAAGAGATATTATTGGAACTACTTACGCAATAATTTATTGGTCCCGCTCTTCCAGTGATAGTAATATTTTACCAAGTGGCAGCACAGAGAACATAAGTCCACGAAATTTACGTTCTCTGGCAGCGTTCCACCGAATATTATTAAAAAGCGCAATGAAAAATAAGGAAGTAGCGAAGTTATGAAAAAGAAAGAATAAGGAAAACTTGGACATTACAGCAAATGCTGTTTGGATAAATTTCCACAGTAGCATCGGTCATCAAAACTTGTTGAATACTTTGGGAAATTGCAATTCACGAGAGTATCAAATTTTATACACTGCAGCCAACTGGGAGTGTAGTCATATACCAAAAGGTTCCGATACCACTCTAGGCAGTGGGGAGTGCAGTGAAAATATAAAATGTATACCCGCGATACAGAATTGCGCCGATTGCAGTCCAACGATGTAAACAGGCTGGCAGAGACATTGGGTTTCGATGGTGGGCGTAAATTGATGGAGACAATACCTAAGCATTGGTCTAATCAACATGCAGTTAGTGTGGGGGAGTCGTTAACGAGAGATAGCCATAAATGGAATGGCACTAGTGTGGTTGAATTAAAGTATAAACCCGAACAAGTGCGGTTAATAGAAGAAGCAACTAGGCAAACTAGTGGTTGCTACTTTGCTGAGATATTAATACAAGAATGGAGTACAAGTGGACGGAAGCACGAACGCCCAACGGTTGGTTTTCTCCTACAATTGCTGATAAAGGCTGACCTCTGGAATGCTGCTGATTTTGTGGCAGAACATTTTCTAAATGGCAAGTAAAATAGTCTGCAACATAAATATATATCCTTGGATATACATATGTACCTAAATATATTCGAAGTAAGACATTGATAATTCGCTGAATTGTAGTTAAAAAAACGTAAACGTTCACACATTGACATGTACGTTAAACAAACTAAAATTCCCCTAAAAAAAAGTCTTCGATTTTTCCAAGTGAAAGTAATGGGAAAAACCAAATTCTTTGTAATTGAAAATTTTACTACCGCTTGCATACAATAACAAATAGTGTGGCTCTATATTCTAGGCAGATTTATAGCTTTTTAATTGAAATAAGCGATTGAACCGCTGTTATCAATGATTGCAATGCATACATACAATATAAGCAGTGACATGAATCGATTGATTCATGAATTCATGCTTGTAAGAAGAAGTGTTTGCTTGATATGTGATACATATGCATATCAATGACATTTATTGCACTATTTTATTTGTTTTTTTTTTCAATCAACAGAACCAGCACCTGAACGCCCGTTGGAAGGACCGGGTGCAAAAGTGGACATATCTATCCCAACAGAATGTTTCGGCAGTGTGGCAGATTTCGTAAACGACTCCGTCGGCTTCCCAGACACAGAAACAATTAATGATAATGCTATTTTTGTGGATGGATTGGTGGACCACAATCGAGATTATTACACGAAAGTTTCTCCATTCAGCAAGGACGTGAATAACACAGCACCGAAACCACCACCAAGAACACGCTCTGCGCGGCAACAAAATACAAAGCAACTTCTCCATCAGGAACAACAGTTACAACCACTAACACTAACAGCACAAACCAATAAAGAAACTGCTATTGTGGACGCTAATGGTCATATTAAGAGGAATCAGAGAGATGAACCTGTAGATACATCAAAAGAGAAAACAAACTTCAACTTTTCTTTAGGCGACAATATAACTGCTCATAATATACCAGAGTTAAGCGATTTGCTTTTAGTTGACAGCGCTCCTCATTCAACTGAAAAGCCAAGGGATAGACACAACGAAATCCCTATGCTCTCTATACTGTGTTGTAATACCGCCGAAGCATCTGGTAAGATACCTAGTATGCCAATCGCTACTTCAATATCGAATGAAGCAATACCTCTTGGTCACAATGCAACCACTACATCTGGCAACACACCGAATATACCAATTATTGCTACAACTTCAAATGTTGCGTCTCCTTTAATGGCAGCATCATCGGGTTTGACTGCCAGCTTACCACTGCTCACTGAACTTAATATGGAATCGGCAAGCGGGGAGGTTGTGAATTCTGCAGTGCAAGAAAGAAGCTCAAGAAGAAGTTCTAATCCGAATCAGTTGCAACATCAAACTAGTTCACCTTCGCAAAATGTTTTAAGTGACGGTAGTCGCTGCAGTAGTTTAAGTAATGATAGCTTTGACGACGACGACGAAAACGACCTAAACGGTATTAACATGTCGGATACGGGTAATGTTGATATTGAATTAGCGGATGGAAATTCCGGAGATCAGAGCCTGCCAAACTTAAGTGTTTTCGGTCGACAAAGCCCAAACAATGACTCAAGCTTGACAACGGTAACATGTACAAGTGGTGAAAATAGCTTTGAGCTGAGTTTGAATGAATCTAGCTCAACTTCTACAACCGATCCGACTGCACAAAGAAAATGAATTAATATTCTTGATTCTTGCATGGGTATTATAAAAAAATAGTTTGAATTTCAACGGCATTCCAAACATAAAAGTAAAAAGGAATAATTCACTTTCCTATTATTATTGGTTCTTGATATATATAAAAAATATACAGATAACTGTAATTAAAATTGGCATATCCGTACGACGTTTTAAGACAACTTCCAATTACAGCTTTCTGAATTTTAAATGACAATGGAATCTACGACAGTATGAATTCCAAATCTAAAAAAAAAAAATATTACTGTAAATTGTAAAATATAAATACAAAATCATTCACCTATACTCTTTAAAAGAAATAATATTCATTATTTTTTAAGAAAATAATATTTATTTACTTTTTTCGTTATTCAGGTGCAATTAGAGATTAAAACTACTCAACCTTTTACAATTTTATTTAGTTTGTATTAAAATGTGCTTTAAGTTAATGAAATTCACATTTGTAAACTATCGAAAATCATAAAATAATTACGATAAACGAAATAATAAAAGAAGTTAATTAAATTAATCATTTTAACTGTTTATCGAATGCAATAAAATTAACCTAAAAGAATGTTGTGTTCATTTAGTTACAAGGTTTTTTAATAACTTCTTGAAAGTGTACATATTCCAGTACGCAGAAATGCATCTCTGTAGTGTTATATTCTAGATGGCTTAAACAAGATGAAGAACAATGAAAACAAAACAAAAAAGATAGATTTGACACATCACAGAGAATTTTCAATAACAAAAAGGAGCTGAATATAAATATAGAGAGAGTTTCTACTAAAATAAAATTAGCGAAAATAATATCGCCACGAAGTTAAGAGTTATATTCTGTGCTATTTTCTTTAAGTTTTTTCACAATTTTTCATCAAATGGACGAGTCTGAACTGCTCTTCAATTTGTTCTACCTCTTATTATGCATGTGCATTATATACCCACCCGAAGAGTTCCAGCGACTCGGATTAAGCATCGAACAAATATTTATGAGACTATTGGGAGATGAAAACATTAATTTCGTGCATTATCATCAAAAGCGTACATCGTTAAATCTGTTTGTGCACAGTTGTCTACCCGCATTATATTTTCTTATACACAAATTAAAATTCTCTGTATTTGCCGTTCGCGAACCCCCAGAGGATATAGAATTAGATCCCGATTTTCCAATGCCACAAGAAGCTGTAGCATTCAAGACACTCACCTGGAAAGTTGCACAACGCTTTAGTTTAATGGCAGTTTTGGCTGTGCCGGCTTTAATATTCAATTGGCGACAACAAAATTGGCGTCGCCATCCCATTAGCCAAACGTTATTGAAATTCTCTAATGTACCAGATAATTTTCAAGCGGTTGCAAGTGATATAAGTACCGAGTTTCGCAGGTAACTGTATTAAAAAATAATAATGAATATGCATATATATGTTTAAAAATTATTTACTTATTTGCAGGCTCGACATCTACAAAAAGAAACTAAATTCAATATCTACTGTTATTGCAACGGAAAATTGGATAATTAAAACTTCACTTTATAATGTACATTTTGCTCATCAAAGTGACACATCACTCATTGTTGCCAAGGTATTTAATGGTTAGAATACTCCAATGATTGAATTTATTTATTGTAGTCTATTACTTATTATTATGGTAGTTTATTAAAAATTGTTTTTAGTAAATTTCTATAGAATTTGTTGCTGGTAGGTACAGACTATATTACTCACTTCGTTTCTCTAAGATTTCTTAATACGGTCTGCACAAAGAGTCACTCCCTTAGAGTCTATTTCTGACCTGAAAACAATAAACTGCAGAAGTCCACTGATTTTTAGGAAGGTATTAAAAATTGTAGTTCAATTGCCGATAAAATGTCAAGCCGCACACCACAAATTTTAAAAGAGATTGCCTGGAAGGTGCTTAAGTTCTTATAAAGCTCCAATGTACATTCATTTTTTTATATGCTGTATAACCGTGCAAAAGCAAGAGGCTATTTGGCATATCCTTCTTTTTAGTTAAAAAATATGTTTTATTGCCATTCTAAAACGGTTTTAACTGTATTGTTTTTGAAATACAAAACTCGTACTTTAATTTTTTTTATCCTTCCAGACTGAGACATATAACGTTTCCCAGGACACAAACGATACTCTACAAATGGTTAGCATAAAAGTAAAACCTAATCGGCAAGGAGTGGCCGATTTTCACATACGCATCAATGCCTTAGATTTTAGAAATCTAGAAGAGCGTATAAGCCGACCAATTGTCATACCAGAAAACATACAATTCCATCGTAATGTAATCGATCGTTTTATAGACGTCTTCAAAGAGCAAGTAGCGAAAAATCCGATATACAATGCTGATCGCATAACGGAAAGATGTTTCGCTTGCATGATTGCTGAGCCAAATATAAAAATTCACAAGCAATGTGATGATGTTGATCGTGACGGACGACCGCTGTCAGCGGATAATACCTGTACAAATTGCTACTGTCGGCCAATGTGGTGCGTGGAATGCTTGGCTCGTTGGTTTGCTGCACGTCAGAGTGAGCACGATCGCGAAGTGTGGCTTGAACAGAAGTGTACATGTCCCATGTGTCGTGCCAAATTTTGCTTACTTGACGTAAGTTACATCGAAAGGACGGACATGACGGACGCGCATGATCCGCAGGCGTGATAACTACAATAACTAGAATATTGTATGTTGGTTTTTTTTTTATTAAGGGTTGAAAAAAATTGTCAATTACGCCAAATTAATATGATAACAACAAAAGGATTTAGAAATCTATTAATGTTTTTGTTTTTAATTCAGCTTATATTTTATTTGGCCTATAATATTTCATTACATGTATATTTTAGAGAACATACTTAAAAATTTATTATTATTATAATTATTATTATGCATTCTATAAACATGAAAACTACTCATAAATTTATTTCTCTAAAGGCAAAAGCTTAATGTCTAATAAATTTGTAACTATCACGTTTTAATACTTTACGATATATAATTTATATACATATTAATACATGTATATATAATTGAAATTAAAAGAAAAGTGAATAAAAGTTTGGTTAGTGCCTACATAATCTTACACTTATTATTTCTAAGCTATTTAATTGGAATTTTTTATTGAATGCTAAATGGAAAGGGTTTATGTTTGGGCAAGCAGTAAACTCTCTTTTACATAGTTATTATGTGTATATTAAAACATCTTGCATTCGTGATTACTTAACTGCCCCGATAATGCTGTTTCAGTAAGACAATACTCTTAATGAGAGATTTCTATAAGAACAAATTTTGGCACACATTTAACACTTGAAGAAAAAAATACAAAAAATGATGTTAAAAAATTAAAAATCGACTATTTCATTATAGAGTTAATGTTTTTTATGAATGCTTAATTTAGTTATAAAAAGAGTTGTATTATATATTTCTTGAAGTATTGAACTCCTTTTTTTATTTTTATTTTGACGGAAAAATTAGTTATGTTAAATTTTTCGAAAAAAAATGCAATAATAAAGTTATGTATATACTAAGCTCAAATATAAAAATAACGTTTTCACATGCCTTTCACAATTAATCTTACTTATTATAAAAAAACGAACTATACATATGTATTTTGCGTAATGTATGCAGGTAGCATCTATAAATTCGTTTCATAGTAACTTTTGTAGCTCTCTGTCTTTTCACGCATTGACGCATTTCTTGAACCCGAGCTGGTAGAAGCTGATGGCATGGACTGCGATGAGAATAGTTTACTGGACATTGCTGAAGACTGACGATAAGCGTTCTGAAATGAAAAGAAAAAATTATTGTACAATAATTGTTTTAAATTTATTATAGAATTTATTCATTACAGTTATAAAAGCAAAACAAATTTTTGTGTATATTAATTTTAAAACGTGCATATGTATATCGACTTAAGGCGAAGTTCCTCTAAAAAAAAAATTTTCAAAAAAACGAAATTTATTTTACCTTTGAGCACTTAAATCGAGCACAATTTTAAGAGCAGCCTTTTAAAAAAACTTTTTTCCAATTAATATTTATATACGTCAACTTATCTACAAAAACTTTTGTTTATAAATAGTTTTATTTTTTTTTTTTAAATAAATAAAATTGATTTAAAAAAAGCACAAATTCGTAGCAGATGACTGAGAAAATGTCTGTAGGCCTCATTTAGTAATTTACGTACAAACATACATATGTAAGCTCGTTTCATTGGATGCAATCTTATTACTTTCCGGCACCTATTTTAAATAAACGTTGAATCCATATAATAATTACGTGTAAAATAATAATTAAAAATATTTATTTATTTACGGCGAGGTTTTCTAACAGAAAATCAATGATGTTATATAACAAATAAAAATTGTGTACGCTTTTACGGTGAAATTATAAATTATAATTAAAGAAAAATCTGTTACAGACTTAACAAAATTAAAATCTTTCACAAAAATTTTAATTTTTTTTTATTAAATATGTTTTAAAAAATTTCCTTAAAGCTTTTGTCCAATTTTTTCCTTAATAATTTTCATACAAATATAGCTCAAAGGTATTAAGACTTTTTCACACGCTCTATTTAACAATGTAAACAGAAGATGGTTGTTACGTATGTATGTATATATGTACACGCAAAGTTATATAAAATAAGTACATGTGTTTGTAAATCGTACTTACAAACGTAATAAACACACGCATGTAGAAATGAGCAAAAAGTTTGTGTGGATTTGTGAAACATCTTATCAAATTTTTGTTATTGCTTTATTATTATTATTATCCCCCAGACTGGTAATCCAAGCAATATTCATTTCTCTATATATAATACATACATACATATTAATACATACAGTGATGAACTAAAGTACTGAAACGCAAGATAGTTCAAATTTAACACCTAATTTTGATCAGAGGGGAGGGACAGAGGGACACATTTTTAACTAATTTCACTTTCATTTTATTATCTTTTATGTCAAATTAATACTAATTTTAAATAAAAAAAATTTCTAATTTTCACCAAACAATAGTATTGGCACAATAAAAACACAAAAAAAATATCATAAAACAAAATTAATGTTTTGTAGCCAAGTCTTTTTCATGTTCAATGACAGCTCCCAAACACTTTTGCATCGATGAGACCAATTTTAGTGTGGTTTCCACCACAATATTCTGCCATTCCTCCACCAGTATCAGCTTCAACTCTTCTTTTGTTGATACAGCGCGCTTTTTAACGAGCCAATCCAGTTCTTCCCACATACGAGTATATTCAATTGTATGCTTAATGTGGTGTGCAAGCCACATACGCACCACATGCGTAGTGTACTTTGGATCATTGTCGTGTTGAGATGTAAATGACTCTGGCAATTTAAGAATTTCCATATAGTATTGCAGCCCCATACAATGACTCCTCCACCACCATGTTTTTTAAGTCGCAGAAAGATTCTATTTTAGAAGTTCAGTGTTAGGTTTTTTCCACACACTTTTGCGGCCATAAGATTGAAAGATATTGAATTTACTTTCATCCGAGAAGAGTACATTGTCCCAAAATTCATTTGGTTTACTGAGGTAATCCTTAGTATAGGCTTAACACTTCTTTTGGTTCACTTTTGCAAATAGTGGTTGTTTGCGTCTAGCTACACGAGAATGAAAGCTAGCTTCAAGCAATGCTCTCTGGACCGTTATCGAATGAATATTTTTCACCCAATTCTTCATTAACTTCCGCTGTGATTTGTGTGGAAAATAATCTTTTGTTTATTTTTAACTTTCTTACTAATTGGCAGCGTTCATGGTCTTTTAAAGCTTTAGACCTACCTGTACGTGTTGCGTTTTGTAAAGACGAAACCCTCTCCAATCGTTTCACAATGGTGTTCTCATGATATAGCGGCTTCTGTCTTGTATTTTCCGCTGAGATACGTTAGTTTCACTTTTTTTTTGCCACTCATTTTTCTGAAAATTACGCAAAGTCCACTATCATTGAAGGCTCTAGGATGTTTGCGATTTGATGGAGCTTATGTAGACATAACGGGACTTTTGAAAAAAACTTGCTACATCAATCAAATTTAAACGAAATATCCCAGTGAAATTTAAAAGTGCCAATACTTTTGTTTGGTTAAAAAAATTACTTTTTTTCTTTTATAATTAGTATTATTTTAACATAAAAAATTATCAAATTAATTGAAGTGAAAATAGTTAAAAAGGCATACCTTTGTATAGCATTTTTTTCGGAATGAAAAATATTTTCGTAAGTGATCAAAAATTGAGAGAGCTCAAATTGAACTATTTTGCTGTGCCAATACTTTAGTTCAACACTGTATGTACACATATACAAATGTTATTGTAATAAATTCGCATTATAAGTGAACCACACTCCCTAAATATTTTATTATACCTCTGGTTCTTTGTTATTCCTCGTGTTTTTTATTTCGTAAATAAATATTGCCAAATAAACAATTAACGGTTTATTACTCTTTTGGAGTTGTGCAACTATGTACATAATTATTTGCACTTGAGAAGAGTTTACTTTGGTTGCAAATAATATATGCATACGTATGTAAGTATGTATATATATATATATCTATATTTATTTAGCATTGCAATGTTTTTTAATATAAATAAATATGCATGTGTGTATGCAGTGTAAGGTGTTTGCATAGGGATTTGCTGCAAAGTCAAATTGGAATTAAAATAATTTCAAAATAATGATTCTTCTTTTTGTTTTTGCTTATATATTTTGAGTTTCATTTCTTAAATTCAATAACGAAAAGCACACATTTATAAACTAAATTTTTTATTAGTGTCTTCGCTTATTGCTTTTTTTCTGTTTCTCACTCATACTATGTACATATGTATGTATTTTAAAGCTCTGAAAATTACATACATTTTTTCCTGCATACCAACATCAGATTTCCATATATGATTTTTGATAACGGTTAATAATTGTTTTCAATCTCCGGTTTTAAAGCACAAAATTTACAATACATATTAAATGAAGTCCCTGCTTCGTTTTCTAAGCCTTACAAATTGCCTAGAGACCAAAATTTGCTAAGATCACTTCTACATATATATATGTATGTATGCACAATGGCGGGCAAAATAATAGCAGTGCCAAGCACTAAAAGTTACAAGTAAAAAATAAAAAAGATTTTCTAACAAAATTTTTGCAATTATTTTATTTCAAAATTAACTTCTTTTATTGCTGAATATAATAGTTAGACCCAAAACGTAGTATAAATCAATATTAAAATATTATTTACAATTCTTTTTGGCATTTTCGAACTGTTATGGCATACCATGCTCGTTCAACTATGTTTCAAAGTTCGTTGTTGTTTGTCGGCTTTGCACGGCAATCTGTTTGTTTAAGGTCTCACACCACAGGTTTTTAATATTGTTGAGGTTGGCAGATTGTGTTGGCCAAACGATCGCCTCTATCTTAAATGCCTGAAACTACTGTTTGCTGGTAGACCCACCCTATTGACATCTCTTTTCTGTCACTGTAGCCAGTTTTTCCACACATTTTCGACTATCCATTATGCTAGTTGTTCGGCATATGCAGCCCACACCCTAATTTGAAATGCAACACCAAATCATTGTACCTTGTCCATCATTCTTAACGGTATTTAAAGTGTTTCGTACTTAGCATTGCTAATATTTTGGCCGCAGGTGTCTGATACGCATGATGAAGACATTGTTCTACGAAAAGGGGTTTCTATAAATTGCGATAACTTTTATTTGCATTTGTTATTTAAACTGGTTTGTTCAATCATAAAGTAAAAATGCATTATCTGTAGATTATTCGCATGTACCTGTGACTTTAGAGCTTCACTTTTGTTGGTTTGTTAAATAAACTTTAAAATGATGGATGACTCTGGGATTCCCAACCACTTAGAACATACATACACTTGACTTGTTTATACCCAGCAAATAATTTCAGAATATTTCTATACAAAACAGGTGATAAGTGGAGTAGATAGCAATATTTCTTAAGCTTCACCAGACACCAAAATTAATGGAAAATTAAGTTTAAAATTTATTTTTCGAATTTCGGTTGCCTCATGGTCCGAGTACTTTTCTAAAAATGAAAAAAAGCTTCTCATAGAAATTAATCTGCATTCCGGGGTCGACTTAGAAAAACTTCAATCATCAAAATGTTACTTTTATTGGAGTAAAAGCTCGGCCGAAACTTGCTTTCGTTGCTATAAATCGCAAAATATTTCAAAAAATAAATATACTATAAATATGTGTATAGAAGTGATCGCAGTTTTATTCTGCATTTCCAGGCCGCTGCTCATATAAAAGAAATTTTCCCCTTTGATTTTATTCATTTGAGATTTCTGTTAGTTTCTCAAAAGATATAATAATGTAATGTAATGTAATGTTAGTACCACTTTCAAGGCTATTTCAACGCAATTTGTGTCTCATCTACTCTGCGACCCTGTAGGAAGAATTTTTTGGGCTATGGCTATAAATGCAATTCAAAGTTATTTGCAAAAAAAAAAAAAAAAATATATAAATATATATATATATATATAAATATATATATGCATATATGTACATATGTTATGTGCAGTCATATATAATACTAGTATCAAAATTGTGTATACATATGTATGTTTTTGACGCTATCATTTCATCTTATCAGTGACAGTCTCGATAATTTTTATTTGTGCAAAAATTGAAATTAAGCAATTTTTGTTGTAATAAACAAAGAAATCGTTCTCCTCCATCAACATTTGCGAATTCTGTGATTTTTTGCTGGTTTTGTTATCAGCACACGTATGTATATAACCTTGATATACAGTAATAAATGAACCAATAGCACTGATCGGTGAAAAATGTCAGTAAAAATTAGCCAGTAGTGAAGTATCAATGTTTGCGAATTTTGCAAACTTTTTGCCTCACCGAACGTGATTCAGTAAAATTCAGTGACCATCAGCTCACCGAACCGGACTGATATTTTGCGTTGATAATAGGAAGTTATGCAGTTCGGGGAGTCCAGGTTTGACCAAATATCCAAAATAAAGAAAAATTAAGCGGTTACAAAGCATCAATTTCGACTTTTTTAAAGAAAGGAAAAAAACACAGAAAATTAAAATTTTATAGAAAATGTTGATTATCAATCGAAAGAACATGCTCTGTCATTTATTGTTTTCAGATTGTCTCTTTCAAATGTTCTAGATGATCCATCCGATGAGTCCAATTTTCGATGACTTTTTCGAGCATTTCGACTGGTAACTGGCGAATGACACGCATAATGTTTTGCTTCAATGCTTTAATCGAAGCGGGATTGTCCACATAGCAAATGTCACCCAAATCACGAGCTGTAATTTCAGGTCACAAATAGTCGGTTATCATGGCGCGATAACGGTCGCCATTGACGGTTACGTTCTCACCGACATCATTTTTAAAGAAATATTGACCGATGAATCCAAACCGTTGCTTTTCTAGATGAAATGGCCGCCCGTGAATCTCTTCAAGTTGCTCTTCGTCCCGAATGCGGCCATTTTACTAATGTACATACCCATTGAGCCAGAAATAGGCCATATTGCGGATCAAAATTTGGCTCGGAAACGTCGGATCTTCTTGGAACTTTTTAAGAGTCCATGGAACGAATGGAATGCCGCTTGGAGAGGCCGAGCGACTCCAGTTCTTGTTCAAGCTGTATTTTGTTCTTTTTCAATTTAAAATCTCTACGTAAAATGCGAAAGTCGCACCATACGTCAGTACGAGTTCCTGCGAACGGCACCGAATCGACTCTCCATGGTCTTTGTGTACACTCTAAGGCCGCACTATATTCTTCACTGTGTGCTGATAATGAATAATAGGTCTCAAGATGGGTGATGGACTCACGTGTGATTTGTCAAAAATTGTCTATTGAAAAAAGTACCGCTATAACATATATAAATTTTAAAAGACACACAAGTGTTGTTAGCCCTTGAAAATTTTCTACAAAACAGAACAAGTTGCGACACTTGCGAACATTCAAGAAATTATTAACATTTTCTCAGAAATTTGAGACATAATAAAAGAGCAACACACACGTACATACAACAAATGTGTTTGACTTGTTTTTAAACATTTTATCGCTAAAGTGAATAATCATTTCATTAAAATAGAACTGAAATTTGTTTAAAAAAAAGTCGCTTGAATTTTTATTTGAAAAAAAGGTATATTTTTCCTTGGGAAATCAACTAGGAGCGTGATTAACTTAACAGACTCAAGAAATGATAGAATGATACATTCCAAACATTGTATAGAAGACCTGTTGAACTCTAGAGAATTTAGCAAGAAAAGCTCTGAAACTCTCATTTAAGCTTTCGCTTAAAAGCTTCTATTGCCGACTCATCGAATGTCGACATCGTCCACACTTCTGCTGCATAAAGTTCGAGAGAAGACTTTCCTTTCCAATTCCATACTTATTCCAAAGTAACATCTATTGTAAAGAATAATTTTGTGTTGGATTTCTAGGGTTGAAATTCTTGTTAGTGTTCATGCTGAAATTATCTACGACTTCACAGGCTTAAGTTATCACTTATACACAAAATTCATAGAGCTTTCGATGTAAACTAGAACTTTAGATGCCCGAATATGGAACAGTGCGAGCAGTGTGATTCCCGCTCGTTGCTCAACTGCTCAAATACTCAAATGTTTATGTGAAATTCTAGATATTTTGAAAAATTCGAGCGGTAGAACAAAAGTTTTCAATTTTAGTTAGCGTTTGCAATGAATACAATGCATGAATAAATTAAAAATTATAAAAACAAAGTTCGGTGAAGTAGAAAAAAGTAAAGATGAAAATATTTTCTTCCACAATGGTCGTAAAAGCTCAAAATATGCTTGAGCTCGAGTAAAGAATATTGAACAGGTGTGCGAGTACATGTCTTTCATATAAGCGAACAAAATCTTGAGCTCTTTTTTAGGAACGCTAAAATTTTTCCGCCGACTCTCTGAGATGAAGTTTGGTGTTTGAGTCTCTTGTATCAATCTTAGCTTTATTTGCTCGTTTCTCAGCATTTTATCCTCCTGATATGTAAGTGATATGTTTCACTGCTGAAGATTTATTAATTTGCAGGGTGGAAATGTTTT